AAGGTGTGTAGTGCCTCAGTCGACTCAGTACCAGGGGAGACAGACTCGCTAGCACCTAGAGCGACAGGCGCACCATCACCTGAGGTGGCAGACACGAGAGGACCTGCAGTGGCAGTCTCACTAGTACCTAGAGCAGTAGGCTCATCAGTAGCTGGAGTGGTAGACACGTGAGTACCGGGAGTGGTAGCCTCACCTGCACCTAGGGCAACAGACGTACTAGCACCTAGAGCGGCAGCCTCACTCACAGGACTCGGCAGCTGCACCTCTCCACTACCAGTAGCTCCCGAACGACGCACTCCAGAGGGACTACCACTACGGTCACTCCGACAGCCCAAACTGGCGTACCACTCACGAGCCTGCTGTAGCATAAGAGGGCACGGCTGCTGCACCTGGCCACGACCAGAGGCTCCCGAACGACGCACTCCAGAGCGACTACCACTACGGCCACCCCGACGTCCCAAACCGGCGTACCACTCACGAGCCTGCTGGAGCATAAGAGGGCACGGCTGCTGCACCTGTCCACTAACAGAGGCTCCCGAACGACGCACTCCAGAGTGACTACCACTACGGCCACCCCGACTGCTCAAACCGGCGTACCACTCACGAGCCTGCTGGAGCATAAGAGGGCACGGCTGCTGCACCTGTCCACTACCAGAGGTTTCCGAGCAACGCACTCCAGAGCGACTACCACTACGGCGACCCCGACAGCCCAAACTGGCGTACCACTCACGAGTCTGCGGGAGCTGCATCTGGCCACGTCAGGAGCAGCAGTAGTAGTGGTAGCAACAGCAGTGGCAAAGCTCACCAGTGGTAGGCGCGGCGGGCGCAAGACGGTGGTGACAGCGGGGCCGCTGCAACTGCGGGGCGGGGCCAGGTCGCAGCAGGGAGCTCCGCGGCAGCTGCTGCAGGGTCGGCGGCGGCAGCTGCTGTAAGGTCGACGGCGGCAGATGCTGCAGTCTCAGCGGCGGCAGCTGCTGTAGAGTCGGGGGCGGCTGCTGCTGGAGGTCCGGTAGCGGCAGCTGCTGTAGGTCTGGCGGCGGCTGCTGCTGTAGGTCCGGCAGTGACGAGGTCGCGAAGGGGCGGCAGCGGCTGATGCGCACGGGCGGGAGCGGCAGTGGGCGCAGTAGCGGCGGCTGCAGCGGGAGCGAGTGCAGCAGCGGCAGCGGTAGCAGGCGCAACAGTAGCGCACGGGCGGTAGCGGCCGCTTCGCACGAGCGGGAGCGGCTGCGGGCGACGCGCAGGCGGTAGCTGCAGCGGCGGGCCCGTGGTAGCGGCAGCTGCAGCGGGCGACGAGCGGGCGGCAGCTGCAGCGGGCGACGAGCGGGCGGCAGCAGCAGCGGGCGACGAGCGGGCGGGCGCTGCAGCGGGCGACGAGCGGGCGGCAGCTGCAGCGGGCGACGAGCGGGCGGGCGCTGCAGCGGGCGACGAGCGGGCAGGCGCTGCAGCGGGCGACGAGCGGGCGGCAGCAGCAGCGAGCGACGAGCGGGCGGCAGCTGCAGCGAGCGACGAGCGGGCGGCAGCAGCAGCGGGTGACGAGTGGGCGGCAGCTGCAGCGGGCGACGAGCGGGCGGGCGCTGCAGCGGGCGGGCGGCAATGTGCAGGCCGGCGGGGCCGCTGCGGGCTGCGCTATAGCGGTGCGAGCGGCGCACGGGCGGCTAGCCGGTCGCGCTCAAAAGAAATCGGCCGCGCGCGGGCAGCTAGCGGGTCGCGCGCGGTTAAAAAAAAAAAAATAAAAAACGAGCCGCGCGCGATTGGCTGGCGGGCTGCGCGCGCGCGGTAGGTAGGAGGCGCACTGGGGCGCGTAGGCGCACGAGGGCGCACGGTAGGTAGGTAGGTAGGTAGCGGTGGGCCCTAAGAACGGTCCTAGCGAAGGACCTGCTCTGAAACCATGTCGAAATCAACAGACAGGAATGACTGTACTAGCACAAAGTTTGATACAAGTAGGAAACCCTAATCTAGTGTACCCCCTAAGGTGTAACCCACTACAGCCTACAATCATATAAACATATAATGTTTGACAAGTTGAAGTAGCGAAAACAGAAGCAAGGACAGCACAAGAAATAGTAAAAACATCTGCAACAACAGTAGTATCATCAGCAGCAACACCGTCAACTACATCAGCCTCATCAACAGAAGCGACAGCAACAACAGGGGTATCACCATCGCATCTGTGGCCATCATTTGTCAAATATGCAACCCTCCCTCGTACAATTTTTCTCAATCTTCTTTAAGGATTGTGCAAACAATTCTGTTGTTAGGACACTAGCTGCAACCTCAATCTTGCCATTAAGCTCCAAACCAACTAAGTAACGCAAAAGGCTCCCCTTGTGTCTGAAATCACCTCTCGCATAATATTTGCTCACATTGTTTTTTTATTACAATGACAATTAGCCCGAGGGTATTAATTTCCGACACAGCCTCCAATAGGAGTTGGAAAACAAAATCACATACTTTCCCCCCTCACCTCGTACAATCTCAAGAGTAACTATTTTACGTGCACAATCTCAAGTTTAAAATTTGTCAAAGTCGCCTTGTCTTGTTGTGATAGCCATTCGCAAACACGACCGGAAGACAGCGCAGCTGCGCGAAGCGAGCTCGACGGAGTGTTACGCACCACTGAAAAAACTTGTCTCTCCGGCCAGTAATTGTGACTAGATAGGCCATTTTATGCCTATTGAGGACATTTGAGGTTACGAAGGAGAAAAAAAAGGACATTTGCTAATACTGAGACACGTGGCGACCAAGGAATTTGTTACTGGTGAAATAAATGCCCTTCTTATGATTCTCCACTCGACTCGCGTCGAGACCAGCGACACCGCACCACTGTTCTGTACAGAATGCACGCGGCTGCTGCTTCTTGGGTGGGGCGAGCGGTGCTTTCACGAAACAACCACCCTCAAGCTCCTACATACGAATACGAACTTGTAGCGATCAGTGAAGCACGTGACGTGCGATTCTAGGAGCTGCGGAATCACGCCGTCCCCTGCTGTACCGCCCCCACGTCGCTTACCTTGAACAAACAATCATTGTCGCAGCAAGGATATAAGGTGGAGCATAATTTTGACTTTTGAGGCGCCTCGAAAGCCAAGGATATAAGGGACTCCGAGCATCATCTTGCAAGCACAAGCACCGCCCAATCGAACGAAAAACCTTGAATCTCTTACACGTTAAGCGCGAACCAAAGCGTGAGAGAACGATAACCGGCTTTGGCCTCCCGCGCAACGCGGGCCGTGGCGGCAGCGGCAACACCCTGATGGTACAGTCACTCCCACTCCCAGCGCACAGGACGAGGCTCGGCGGATGATCGTGACGAGACACACTGTGGCGGCGCAGGTGACTGCGCGATTGACGGTAGTGATGCTGCTGCTGGCACTAGCCGTGGCGGTAGTGGTGGTGGCGAGGGCGGATGCAGCAGCGGACGCGGCGGCAGGTGCACGCAAACGTAATCCTCGTTTTCTCGCCCGCTCGTTACGACCATTGGAAGATCATGCATTGCGTTCGCCGCCGCCTCGCTCGCTCAGTCGCCGAATCTCTATTGCTTTGCATTGCTCCCGCATCTCCCGCATCTCGCCACGCCCCATTACTATGCACGCGGGGCCCGCTTTGAGTGATGCTTCGCGGACCCACTAACATCATGTTATGCCACTGACAGCGCAGCACCATTCCGTCTAGTACCTTTTTCCATACTTCCATCATGCCATGCCTCAACATGCCCCACCAACCATCGCTCTCTCCCTGCCCCCGCCTCCCCACACCTATCACTCACACCCCTTTCTTACGCCCCTTCCGCACACCCCTTCACTTCGTCGCTCCGCCCTGCGCAATGCGCCCTGCAGCGCCCTTACCGCGCGCGCTCTACATCGTCCAGCTCCGCTCCGCGCCCCCCATTGCCGCCTATCACGGCGGCATTCCCGGATACCCCGCCACTGCTCTCCTCCAACCCACTGAATCTAACAGCCAATCACCCCCCTCCCCCTCCGCCTCCGCCTCCACCTCCGCCTCCTCCGCGGCGTCAGCAGGCCCCATCCCTGCATCCACCGCTTCGCGCCGCGCTGCATTCCGGTGGCGCGCGCGCATCAACTCGCGCCTGCCAGCAGTGCGCGCGTTCCAGCGCCTGCTGCGCCGCCAGCAGCGCCACGTAGCCGCGGACGCGCGCGTGCGCCTAAAACACATCGTCCACAGCTACACGCACGTGGCGAACGGGTTCGCGGCGGCGCTGACGGCGGGGGAGGCGCGGCGGATGCGGCGGCACCCCGCCGTGGGCAGCGTGACGCGCAGCGGGCGCTTCCGCCTGCTCACGACGGCGTCGCCCGCGTTCCTGCAGCTGCCGCCGTCGCTGTGGGCCGCGGCGGGCGGGCAGAGCAGCGCGGGCGAGGACGTGGTGGTGGGGGTCGTGGACACCGGCATCTGGCCCGAACACACCTCGTTTGCTGATGATGTACGCCACTCACTCACTCACTCACTCACTCACTCACTCGCACACACCCTCGCTCTTCTTCTCCTCACTCTCCCCATCCACCCTTGTCTACCTTACAAACAACTCCCCGCCTCCCACTTCCTCCCCTCCCAGGGCTTTCTCTCCCTTTCTTGTGACGCACTTCCCCTCTTGTGTGTGCGCGGAACCATTGCGCCCAGACTAGCCCCGTCTCCCCTGACTGACCTCAACCCACGCCAACAGCGCCTTTCTGCTTTTTGCCAACTTGGCCCCACCCATGCACGCCGCATCCCTGCCCTGCTCTCATCTCGCACCCTAAACCCGTGCTCCTTCATCTCTTCCGCCACCTCTTCCCCCCCCCCGCCACCTCCCCAGCCCCCCATTAGTTTTGAGGCGCCTCAAAACTCCGCCTCTTCCCCCGCCCGCCACCTCCCCCCCTCCCCTTCTCCAGGGCTCATACTCTGCGGCTCCCGCGACGTGGGTGGGTTCATGTGAGGTGACGGACGACTTCCCTGCATCGGCGTGCAGCAACAAGGTGGTGGGCGCGCGGTGGTTCATAGCGGGCATGCAGAGCGAGAGCAAGGGGCAGGTGGAGCTGTTTGGTGACTACCTGTCGCCAAGGGATGCGCAGGGCCATGGCACGTGGTGCGCGGGGTGAGTATGGGGGGGGAGGGATGTGAGGAGGAAGTGGGAGGAGTGGGGATCGGGAGGAAGGGGGAGCAGGGGAAGAGAGATAAGGGTGGTAAAGGGAGTAAGGGAAAGGGGGGTGCGCTGGGCCATGGCACGTTTGTGCGGGGTGAGTACAAGGAGGGGGGTGTGAGGGGGGAGCGGCAGGAGGGAAGGGGTAAGGAAGGAAAGGGGGGTTTGCGCAGGGCCAAGGAAATGGGTGCGGGGTGAGTTAGCAGTTGCGGGGTGTGTGGGGGGGGGTGAGCGGGGAGAGGAGGAACGGGACAGGGGTAAAAAGGGGCGGATACTCTCAAGGCCATGGCACGTGTTGAGAGGGGAGGGGGAAGGACGATGGGAAAGCACGGAGAGGTTGAGGAAGAGGGAGGGGATATGCGCGCATGTGGTGCGAGTGGGTGGTTGCGGGCATGGTGCGCGGGGGTGGACTGGGAGAGGGGAGAGAAGAGGTGGGGAGGAGAGAGGGGGCTCGTGTGCAGGGAGTGCGGGGGAACGTGCGGGGGAACGTGCGGGGGAACATGTTGCTGAACGGCAGAGGAGCCAAGGGGCATGTGGTTTGAACTTTGAGGGGAGGTGGCGACATGCAAAAACGCATGAAGGTAGAAGGGGAATCCGTGGGAGGGGAGAGAAGGGTCTGTATCTGTAAGTACCCTCCTTTCCCACCACAAATGCTTTCATGGGGAACACGAGACTTCGCGTGGTGACGCGGAGAGATGAGGTGGTGTGGGATGAGGCCGCTTTTTTCTACCGCTGCACCTAGCTAAGCTAGCTAGCACTGTGGTTGGGTCAGCAAGGCGCGGCTTGTCCATCCATGAGCAATGGATGGACAAGGCAAGGCACTTCTCTCCCAAACCCTCCGTGTGGTTCAGCAAGGCACTTACTCCGCCTCATGCCCCCGTCATAGTTACTTCTCTCCCGAACCCTCCCTCACACACTCCTCCCCACCCCACCCCCCTCCCCGCATTCCCAACTTCGACTCTCCACACCCCTCCGCGCACCACCCTTCCCCCTCCCCTCCCCTGTCCTCCTTGTCCCCCACAGGGCAGCAGCAGGGGCGGCAGGGGTACAACTCAGCGACACGGGGGAGACAGCCAGCGCGCGCATTGCCGCCTACAAGGTGTTTTGGCGCAGGAAGGGGCAGGTGTGGGCTACGGAGGCAGGCATAGGAGCAGCGGTGAGGTGAATGCACCACACTGCACTTACTCCCCCGCTTCCTTCCAACCCCCTCCTCCACACCACTCTCCTCCTGCTCCCACCCCTCCCCTCCCCTCCCCTCTCCTCCCCTCCGCGCGGCCCCCCTGCCTGCTCCTCCCCACAGGGCAGCAGCAGGGGCAGCGGGAGTCCCTCTCGGCGACACAGGCGAGACAGCAAGCGGCATGGCCCCCCGCGCGCGAATCGCCGCCTACAAGGTGTTTTGGCGCAGCGGGGGGCAGGTGTGGGCGACGGAGGCGGACATAGCAGCGGCGGTGAATGCAGCCGTGGCGGACGGCGTGGACGTGCTGTCCCTGTCGCTGGGCAACCTTGAAGCCTCGAAAACATACTTCCATGACGCTGTGTTCCTCAATGCACTCGCGGTCAGTGCGGTGGGGAGGGGGTAAGGGGGTTGGGATGGGGCGTGGGGGAGGGGGTAGGGAGGAGGGACGGGGGCAGGGCGGCACAGGGCAAGGGGCAGGGCAGGGATGGGTCAGTGGGGGGTTGAGGTGATGGTGCAGTGCAGCCAGGTGTGGGCGACGGAGGCGGACATAGCAGCGGCGGTGAATGCAGCCGTGGCGGACGGCGTGGACGTGCTCTCCCTGTCGCTGGGCAGCCTCGAGGCGTCCCAGACCTACTTCCATGACGCTGTGTATTTGAATGCGCTTGCGGTCAGTGGCTTGTGGTGGGAAAGGGAGAAAGGGAGAGGTGGGATGGGAAGTGGCCGTTCTCAGCCTGTCGCTGGGCAGCCTTGAGGTGTCCAGAACCTACTTCCATGACGCTGTGTTGTGTTCCTCAATGCACTCGCGGTCAGTGGTTTTAAGGAAGGGGGAGTGGAGGTGGGTGCGATAGGGTGGGACGAGTAGGATGATGCGGGGACGGGGACGGGGTCGGGGCAGGGAGAGTGCTGAGCCTGTCGCTGGGCAGCTCCGAGGCGTCCCAGACCTACTTCCTTCCATGACGCTGTGTTTCTCAATACACTCGCGGTCAGTGGCTTGTTGTGTGGGGGAAAGGGGGAAAGGGAGAGATGGGATGGGAAGTTGACGTGCTCTCCCTGTCGCTGGGCAACCTCGAGGCGTCCCAGGCCTACTTCCATGACGCTGTGTATTTGAATGCGCCCGCGGTCAGTGGCAGGATGGGGGAAGGGGGAGGTGGGAGGGATGTAGGAGAGCGAGGAGGGGATGGGGTAGGGACAGGTACGGTGCTGATGATGGGGGGGGTGGGATGGGAAGCTGATGGGTTAGGCACGGAGCAATGGGGCCAGGAATCGGGTTGGGATGGGGTAGTGATGGGTCAGGGATGGGTCAGACAGGAAGGGGGGTGGGTTATGGCGTTCTGGGGATATGGATTTGTGCGCGTGGAGAAAAGAGAGGCTGCGAGTGCTTGTGTGGCCCATGGCTCTCATCTTCCCTCCCTGCGATGCCATGATCCCTGGACAGACAGAAAGGAACGCCTTGCCGGCTGCAGCAAGCCATGGTGTGCTCTATCACACACCTTTCACGCCTTCTTCTCTCCTCCCCTCCCTTCATCCCGCATCCCACAGCCATTCTTACTCCCCCCTTGACCGCCCCTCGCACTTTCCTCCGCGTCCCTTCCTAGTGCAGTTTCAACAACCCCACCACGTCCTGTGTGCATGCCATGCCATGGCCCCACCCACCACGAGCCAGGCGGGAGTGGTGACGGTGTTTGCAGCGGGTAACAGCGGGGCGCCTCGAGGCAAGCCCTCATCGTACCGCACTATCCGCAACTTCTCGCCCTGGTACCTCACCGTCGGAGCCAGGTGTGCTCCTCCCCCTCCCCCTCCTCCTCCTACCTTGCTGGTGTATTTTGAGTCAGTCCAAAGTACCCCTCATCGTACCGCACTATCCGCAACTTCTCGCCGTGGTACCTCACCGTCGGAGCCAGGTGTGCTCCTCCCCCTCCTCCTACCTTCCTTCCTGTTGTATTTTGAATCAGCCCAAAGTACCCCTCGTCGTACCGCACTCTCTCCAACTTCGCCCTGTGGTACCTCACCGTCGGATTCAGATATGCCCCTCCGTATAAAGTCCGCGTGTAGTGAGGCGTATTTTGAGGTGCCCTCATCGTACCGCACTATCTGCAACTTCTCTCCGTGGTACCTCACTGTCGGAGCCAGGTGCGATGCTCCCCCCCCACTTCCTCCTCCTCCTCCCCGTCTTCCTACCTTCCTGGATATTTTGGGGTCGGCCCAAAACACCCCTCGTCATACCGCGCTCTCTTTAACTTCGCCCCATGGTACCTCACCGTAGGAGCCGGGTATGCCACTCTGTACAAGTCAGCGTGTAGTGGGGGGGATTTTGAGGTGCCTCAAAAAGGGTTGTCATACTGCATTTTCTCCAACTTCTCGCCACGGTACCTCACCGTCAGAGCCAGGTCTGCCACTCCCCCTCCTCCTACTTTTCTACCACCTGTCTCCCTCTCATTCTCACACTTATTTTCGTCATTCACCTTTCTGCTCTTTCTTTGTGTCCTCGCCTTTCCTCTATACCGTACCTGCCACCATTATTTTTCTCAGATTACTCCTTCCTACCACACCCACACATCCCCACACCTGCCACTGATTGCACTAGCATCTGTTTCTTTAAGTCGACTCGATAGACAGCCCCCGATAGCAATTGCAAGTGTTTCAAGAACAGATGCAATTGCCATCGCAAGTGCATCTGTTCTTTGGGTTCCAAACCTGATTCCATTTCGATTTCCGCGTCTGTCCAAAACCTGCTGCCCCGTACGTTCAGAGTGTGTGCTTCTCTGTGTCGTCCCAACTGGGGGCGTCAGTACAAGCAGCACGGCCTTGCTATCCGCTCCACACTCCACCCCCCCAAGAGTCAAGACCCACGAATCTCGTCTCCCTCCTCTTTCTCTCCCTCCTATGCTACTTTCACCCAACCCCCACCGTTTCTCCCATCCCCTCCCCTCTCTTCCCCGCTCCTCCCTCCTCTCCCCTTACACCTCCCTCCTAACCTCCCTCTGTTCCCCTCTCCCCCACTCCCCCACTCCCCCAATCCCCACGCCTCCCTCTCCCCTACGTACACCCCCGTGTGCACGCCACAGTTCCATCAGTCGAGTATCAGCCATAGACGGCAGTGCCACAGCGTTCTCAACACCCGATGCTCCCGCCACCACCACAGCCATGAGCTACCCCACTGCTGCCGCTGCTGCCACTGCTCACCCGCCCACTCTTGCCGCACAAGCTTTTGCTGCTGCTGGTGAAGGAAATGGTGCTGCTGTAGTGCACGCGGTTATGGCAGCACATGCGAATGCCACCTGGAGCGCCAACAGCGGTGCTGTGCCGTCCCGGTGAGTGGCACAATCCACTCTCCTCTCCTGTGCGTGCTCTTGCCTCTTGCCTCTGCCTGCTCCGATCATGGGGCTTGAGCTGCTGGCTATTGTGTGTGGCTCTTGCATGCATGCAGCATGCATGGCACAGTGGCACAGTGGCTGGTTTTTTTGGTCAAAGAACAGCATAGCACCGTACTCGTTCTGTTCTTTCATCCTGCACCATGCATCTCGTGTGAGTGAGTGACACGGCTGTGTGCTCTCGTGCTCACGTATGCTATGCCGTATCTTCAACAATGTAATTTTCCACATCCTTTCTTTAGTCTGGGAAGCTGTGAGGTGCTACTCTACTCTCTACTACTGATGCCCACACACCACACACCGCATGGCACACACCGCATGGCACACATTGCATGGCACACACCGCATGGCACACATTGCATGGCACACACCGCATGGCACATGCCACATGCCCCATGCAATATGCTCCGCCGCATGCCCACACGCCCCACACCCCATCCCACATGCCCCACACCCCACACCTCATCCCACATGCCCCACGCCATACACCCCATGCCACATGCCCAACCCTCCTCCCATCCCCCCTCTCTCCCCCATCCCACCAGCGCGCGCATCACCCCCTTCGAACTCCCCGGATCGCCAGTAGAGGCGCCCATCATCTCCCCCACCTCCTCCTGCGGCCCGCTCGTCCCCCCCACCTCCGCACCCTCCGCCCCCAAACCCACCAACGACATTCTCAAGCCAGACATCATCGCACCAGGCGTGCAGCTGTGGGCCGCGTTCCCCCCACCAGATCACTCCATGGCCCCCTCTTCCGGTTACCTCGCGCTGCTCTCCGGGACCTCCATGGCGACTCCGCATGTGGCGGGCGTTGCAGCGCTCATCGTGCAGCAGCGGCCTGATTGGTCCCCGGCGCAGGTTATGTCCGCGATTATGACCACCGCGGCGGTTACCAGTAACCGCGGGCTGGCGATAAGGAATGACTACGGGGACGATGCGAGTCCGTGGGAGATGGGAGCTGGGCATGTGCGTCCTGAGAAGATTCTGGATGCTGGACTTACGTTCAACGCGAATGCGAGCGATTATGCTAATTTTCTGGCCGGGCAGAGTTATGCCCGGGCCAAGAAGCAGTTTCAGGGCACAGTTCTGCGGAAGATTCGCGCGTGCGATCTGAACCGTCCGGTGATTTCCGTGTCGCGGGTGGTACGGAGTGTGACGGTGAAGCGGACGGTTACGAATGTGGCTGATTTTGGGTCGATGTATTTTGTGAATGTGGTGGAACCGAGGAGAGTGCGCGTGAGTGTTTCACCAGATGCGTTCTCGATAGAGCCAGGTGAGAGTGTTACTATAACAGTGAAGTTTACTGTACTGAGTGCGAGCACATACTTTTCATTTGGTAGCTTGACGTTAACTGATGGTTGGGGACATGCTGTTAGGATTGTGTTGGCTGTTCAACCATTAAAAAAGCGGTGATATTGCGGCTTGTTCGAACAGAGAAGGAAAATGATTGGTTCAGCGGATAGAACAGAGTCAAAGTGCTGAAGAGATTGGATGGAGCTAGTAAGGTACCTATGCTTTTGCCACAAAAAAACATTAAATGAAGCATGTGGGGTACATTGTTAGTACGTCTCCACGTGTTGTACGCTGCAACGCAACCCTCACTACCGGAATTTTTTTTGCTGGCGCTTTGTCTGACAACTTGATCAGCAAGGGCGTGGGCCCAAACGGGTTTGATCGCCTCGATCAGCCGCGATCATTAATTTCCAGGAAGCCTGGAAACCAATTTCAGGCAATCAGGGGCAATCAGCTGATCGCGATCAGCTGATCGCCTCAACTCAATCAGACCCGATTTATACCCCGATCAGAGTCGATTTTCCTCGATCACAGGCAATCAATTGATTGCTTGTGATCGGGACACCCAGCGATGCTTGCGAAGCGTTACACTGTTGCACTTACAGTGAAACGACAATTTTCGCCAGGTTAAGCCTGGTCGTCAATCTCGCTAGAATGGTGCTGAAAATGCCGCGCAAATGTATCGCAATTGTTGAGCAGGCGCTGACAACTTCTCCAAAATCAGCTCTGATCGGGCGGCTCGGGCAATACGATCACAAGCAACCCGCTCAGATTCGACCCGATCAGATCAGCCGCGATCAAACCCGTTTGGGCCCACGCCCTAAAGCCCGCGAAAAAATCATGGTACGGTACCTGATGAAAAGCTGCAGGAGTTGGGAAGGATGCGCGATCCGGTGCGCGAAAGCCCGTGCAGATTGGGGAGCATGGTGACTAATTTCGCCGGGTCCGGGTTTGCCAGCACACGCTAGCCAGAGCTTGCGTCGAAGCTTCGTTCAGACGGCGGCGCTTCTGTTTTATGAGTGAATCGGTAACCGTAGGACTCATTTTGTCACGTAATCTCGAAAGTACAGCGCATTTACGGCCGTGGCCGATCTTAACTGCATCGACGACGAAGAAGTTGTCGGAGAAGGAGCGAGAGAAAGAGCGAGAGAAAGAGCGAGAGTCGAGACCGACGACGGTAGTTGACGCAGGACGAATCCACAGACTGACAGATGCTAACGTAGGCTGACAGGAACTGACGGAGTTTGACGGAGGTTGACGGAGGTTGACGGACGTCAGGTGGCGAGGATGCGCGTGAAGACGGTGCAGGTGCTGTGGCACGGGCGCGAGCCAGTGCTGTCCGCGGACTTCCACCCGTCGGGCGTGCTCGCGACTGGCGGCGCGGATAAGGAGATTAAGGTGCGGCGCGAGAAGGGGTGAGGAGGCTCGTGGTGAGGGTGGAGGCGGGGAGAAGGGGAAGGTGGGTGGGAGAGGGGGTAGGGGGGAGAGGGATTGGCGAAAATGAGACGATTGTTGGAAGCAAAGA